AACTTACAGCCAATTAAATTCTTCTGCAAAAATTGTGTTAGTTTCCAACGCAAAATAAACCAAAGGTATGAAAAACGGTAAAGAGCTTCTGAAGGGCTTCTTCTCTGAGTCTTGAGGATGAGTAACACTGCAACATTATGCTGAGGCTGATAAGGCACTCCCCTTCTATCTTCCCAAACTGGGAACTACTCTTTACAGGATAGTATCAAAATATACACACATTTTAAAGTTAAAATGAATACTTTAAATTATTAAGGATTAAGTTAAAGCTTTGTTCTGATTACAACAGTTATCCAGCTATAGAGCACAGCAGAGATTTAAAAAGAAGAAACAAACAGGTTTTTTTTAAAGTATTTGACAAGAATATGTATATATACCTTAGTAAGCTGGGCCAGAGAAATAGATGCAGAAGAGTCATCAATCTGTTCACAAAAAATTAAACACATATTCAAGTTCTACAGTCAAAACATGGCAACAGTTAACCTCTACTGTAGTCTGAAAGGCTGCACTATACCCACTGTGTGTCCCTGGCAGAGGCATTTCCATCCCAGTGTCAGTTGTATTTGTTCAAAACAATGGCCAAACCTATGGCAGCTTAAGGGTTCCTACATGGTTAATGAGAAGGAACTAAAATAGCCAAACTCGCCTGAGATGGATTTACTGCTCCAGAGTATCTCACACGGGGACCCTCCCAAATGCTCACAGTGGCTTAAGAGTCAAAGGGGAAAGGAATCTGTCAGTTTTCAGTTAAAAAGGACTTTAAAGCATCACTGCAGGAAGCTTCACTGGAGTTTGTAAGTTAATCACTTATAAATGCACATGGTTATGCTTTCATGAACCCAGTCTAGCTGCTGTCTGAATAAAGCGCCAGCACAGCAGCCCTGAATCATGAACTCTGCCTCTCCTGTTGCTAAGTTTAAAAATGCCAAACTCAGACCCCACCAAACCCAAAACCACTGATCCAAAGCACCAGCCTTAACAGTAACCCACCACTTTGTCTAGAAGAAAACAACTGCTTAAACTATAAATAAAGGTGTTTATCATGACAGAATAACCTATAAAAACAGAAAACGCCTTTCTTGTATTTTATTAGACCACCATTAGGCCATACTACCCAAATTAGTTTGGGAAGTGAGAATTTTGTATTTCCTTGCTACCAGACCAAACCCAGTACTAAATGAACAAAGGCAGAAAGTGCAAAGCACACTCTTGATATTGAAAACATGGATTCAGAGCAGAGCCCTGTATTTTTCTCTCCAATGGAACCACACTGCTCCCTCCCAGCTACCTACAGCTACAGCTTGTAGGAATGAAGTCCCAGGCCACTAGTTGGGAATGGGCCACAGTGTTTGCTAAGAACTAAACACTGGAACAGTTTTTCCACAAGTAAAAAGGGAAACTCTTCTCCTCTTCCTGTTCCACTATATTGAATTATATTATGCCACAAGCTTACACAAGTTAAGCTTATACTAGTAAAACATTATTAGGAAGACACTCAAATCACTGCTTATCGTGTTTTTAAGTTGTTCAAATCCACAGAATAAAATGTCACAATGAAAACTGAACATCTCATGAGGCCACTGAAAGGAAACAGCTCCTGTCCTTCCCTAC